TTTTCCAGAATTTTTGAAAATTGTGACAACGGAGAAACCAGTCTATAATTTGTGAAGTTGTGCTTATCACCAGATTATTAAGATAAGATAATTAAGGACTGTCTCGATGCTTTATTTCTGCAGGCAAAACACCCTCACCCCCAACTCCACACCTTGTATTAAAAGCATAATTCTATGATACAGCTAGTTTAGGCAAACCTAATGTTATATTAAAGCAGAGTTAATCAATGCAAGGGGAGCCTTCTTACCATACATTATTATGCACTACAGAATGCTTTAATGTGCAAAAAAAGACCTTTTTGTTGGCCAACAGTAGACATTATATTACTACAGGTTAATAAAACTTTGGGTTTCTTAATTTTTCATAATGGTTAGTGCATATGTAAATATTTAATGAGGTCTTTATGCACCAGATATTCCAACAAAAAGGTTAATAAGCTCGAAGATGGAAGATAGGGTATATAATCGCTGCCCTGTCTTACAGAGAGAGGAAGAATAGCGCAACAGCAATAAAAGGCCCAAAAGAAGGAAGTGAGAGCACTTTACAAAAGAAGAAATATAGAGAAGTAAGACATAAATAAATCTTAGCCATAGTTTTATAGTATTTTATAAAGGCGCCTTTATTGACTTACTGGCCTGCAACTAATGATTATTTTCATTATCAATTAAACCGTCATTTATTTTTTAGATTAGTAGAGTAATCACTAAGACCATATAATGTTTAAAAGCACTGAAAAGTAGACCATCACACCTTCAGAGAAACCAGTGTAATTTGGTGAGGGACAGCACACTAATTCTGGTTTGTTTACATTTTTTTCTGTTGATCCATGAGCACTACTTATGTCAAAAAACTAATAAAATAAATAAACAAAAATTCTACTGAATATATTATGATAAAATATTAACAACAGCACCATAGTGAAGTCCTTGTCAGTATGGCAGTTAATTTCTACTTCACTTTACTGACACACAAGCATGTTATAAAATCAAATGTACACAGTGACATCAGCTTGGAAACCCAAATGTTACTTCAGTTTAACTCATCTTTCACCATTATGATACACTGAAAGCCCTGCCCTATATAAAGACTATAGCTCTTTCCTTAATTAACACACACATTGTGGCATATTTCAATATCAAATTAATATTTCAGTGCTGCTACCATTTCAATGGGCCTTAATAGAGTGACAAGACATTCTCACCAACCACTGTCCCATGAAAAATGCACAAGCCACTTAAAACCAGTGGCCAGTCACAAGAAGACACTTGGCCCCTCAAGACAAAGCTGACTTCTTTCCTTAAGAGGGAAAAGCAGGAATATTTTCAGTGCCTGCTGTGGAAACTAATGCCCTCTCTTACACACATATCTGTTATGAAGATTGGATGAAATGGTTTGATGGTGAAACATTAGCTTCTTTTAAATCTTACGCCTTGGCGAGCATTCTTCAAATGTAACGCAGGCTTAATAATTAAAGTGCCCAATTGGCCATATTATTAGTCGTCAGAGCCATCTGATTGTTCTCCCCCTCCCCCCCAAAATCTCTGACTAAGAGGTTGCTTTAACAAATTAGAACTGAACATTTGGCTGCAGAAGAGTTCACTATACTTGGAAATACAGCACAAAAGTCAAGGCTAAAAAAATGCCTGTACTGAGAGGGTTTTCAAAGGGATGTTAGAAGGTAATCAACAGATCTGAGACAACGCAGGGTTAAAAAGGTTCAAAGATTTCATTTGTCACTCTCTTTGACCTTTTTCTTCTCTATAGATTTTTAATACTATAGTATCAGGCAGTTTTAATGTCTAAATGAAGCATTTCTTTTTATTGTTCCTCTTCATTTCTCTTTGATTAGCCAGTGTTTTCCCCAGCGCGATTACCAGTCGTCAATAAGTACAACAGTGTTTACAGGGATGGAACATTATTAAGGCATGGAGCGGAACCTGTCCTTCTAGCTGTGCAAACTGCTGAAATATTAAAGCAAATAAGAGTCAAATAACATCTGGGGAGGTCTGGTGAGAGGAGGCGGGGAGAGCGAGGGAGTATTAAAGACATATCAAAGGATTTGTGAGTTGTGTTAGTAATGAAACTAAAGTCACTTTTAGGGTAAAAAGGATTTTCAAAAAACAAACAAGCAAAAAAATACTGTACAAGAATAGGGACTGAGTGTATTTTTATTACATGAGACAAGTATTTCTGAGCAAACTCCTGAAGACAACACACCCAGCACTAGTTAACTACTACATCTATGTACTTGATAGTGTTCACTCACTATTCTGAATTCAAATGAATATTATATATGTAAAGTGGCAATTCATTTATCAATCCAGTTAATAATTGATACACATACATTTGCTGATTTTATAAATAGATAGATAGATAAAATACTCTATTAGGAGTAAGGAAACATTAGTCACATTAGTCTTCCAATATATTTCTTCAGACTAATACTATAGAGCTCAAAAGACTTAACTCCAAAATTTGAATGGAGCAGTAGATCCCTGATATTAAGGGGAGTTTAACTGAGAAAATGCTTCTCTTAGAACAAGTGATGATGATGATGATTGAGAGATTGTGGGAGCAACAGAGCAGGAGATGAAAGATATTTGGCATGACAGGACGAGGCAGGAGAAGAACAGGACCCCACACGACAGGGGGCCTGAGAGGCCGACTGCAGAGCCGCCTGACTGACACGCACTCGCAGTGCTGCTGCCAGAGCCCCTCCCAGAGTTTGGAGAAACAGAGCACAATATGCACCTACTGTGAACAGACAAATTCACCTGCTCAGACACAAAACGACAGGCAGAAATATTATATACACACACAGGCATTTGGTGAGGAACAAAATAAGGCTTTTCACAGCTGTTATGGGAAAAGCTATTTCTGAATCAAAGACAGGTGAGGTATTTATCTTTGTGTCTATGGATCTCTAGCAGGAAAGGGAAGCTAAAGCTAACAGATAGCTTTAATGCAGATTAGAATAAATAACCGTCTAGAAAAGAAGATTAAAGTAGATGCTGGTTTATAATTAGCTGGCTGCCCCACAGCTAAGAATCACTAGTACATCTTTGCCACTGGAGATAGAGTGTGTGTGTCACAGGGTTGACGCGGGAAGGATTGAGCAACCTGTCACCCATAACTCACACATAAACTGTACAGTGAGGCGGCGCATAAGATGTACTGTACATGCTCAGTCCTCCTCTCACACAAAGATATTCTGGGGTAGACAACGATGACAGGAGTCTTTCTGACATAAACATGGCATGCACACACGCTCATGTATCTACAACTTCACTTGTTATTACTGTAACAATTGGATCCTTTTTGATTTTAATGAGGGTAAAGTTGGTGGTAATATATCTTTTTCACGGTCAACAAATCCCATGAAAAGTCCAAAACAAAAAATGAACAGGTTCTTCTACAAAGTAGCGTCTGCGTATCCAAAATCGGATCTAGCTTATTCTTCAGTGCCATAAGGAGGAGTCAACAAACGATCTGTGAGCACAGGAATTCAGAAAGCACTGATGGAAATGCAAGAAAGTGGCAAGAGTGAGAACAGAGAGAGAAAGAGAGACATAAAGCCAACAACTGGCATCTCAGGGAATTTCACAGGGATGGCTAATCCAATGTGATCAGCGGAAGATTTTAATATTTAAATAGCCAGCAATGCACCAGAAGTTTCTAATTAAATTATAACTCATGCTTGAAAAGCAAAAGTGCATGTGTTGTGGGAGCTTAAATAATTCAGCTCGCCCTATATCTCGTCTTTCTGTTAACCCAGAGACAAATGGCACTTGCTAGGGCTTTTAGACGGGGGGCTGGCACTGTCAGAAACATGAACAACATCGGCATGTAAAGGGCCTCATCCATCGGGGCCCAAATCCAAACTGACTGGCCTCACCACCGGACAATGTTTCTAATGTAGGAATTAATTTGCTTAATTAATTCATTATTAATTACCTTAAAGGCCACACAATGTTGGCATACTGTAAAAAGATGACAGGGGGAAAAAGCCTGTTCCTAATGAACTGGGGATGTTAATGAGGCACTAGACAACTATGTTCTGGCTCCTCTCACTATATCATCCTACCTGCTTGCTCTTATTACAAGTTTCCAGCAAAAAAAGTATCAGAAAAGAGTTTATTAATTAATAAACTCTTGAAGGATATATGAGGCGCTCACAATATCCATGAGAAGCGTAAAATATTTAGAGTGGTAACATTCATATTAATGGCAAAATTACACATACATCTCAGAAATTAAATTAGAATTCGACCCAACATTGATGGCAGATTCATGTCAAGCATATAAATGTACTCATGGCTCGAGGTCAGAATATCTTATTATTTTTTTTCTCCACCAGGTATCTTTGCTTTTGGCAATACTTGGCCCTCGCGGCGTAATTCCAGGAAAGAATTACATTTTTGATGTGAACTAATTAGGCTGGCCTTTACCTGAAAATCTACCAGACTGTTGCGTGTTCCTTGGTCGGGATGATGGTGGTATAACTTATTGAGTGGCACCAACTGTTCTAACGTAAGGAATAGAGGGAGAGCTGAGAGCACACAGGTCTGTTTCAGTGAACTTGTACTTTGTAGAACAGAATGGAAGAGACTCTTAAAAACAAACTCCAAAGAGACGGAAAGTCAATCATTCCACAAAAGCTTTCCACTCTTTAACAAAAACTAAACCCTGGTGTCATAGTTTCTCGCTCTGACCTACCAGGGAGAATTACAATACAGATGCTGTATTGCATTTCTATGACAGTAACAGTGCCTGCTGTGATTACTACACTTGGTGGTGAGTACACCTCAGACACTGGGCTGAGGACCCTCTATTTTTTGCTTTACCCGTTCCCTCTTTTCTTTATTCCTATGCCACTGCACACACACACAAACACAACTGGAAGAGGGTGGTAAAGTGATAAAGAGAGTGTGGGTGAGGTAGGCAGTATCATGATCTGAGATAAAAAACAGTCTGTCTTCTCCCATCTCTTCTCTTGCAGCTGTAGAAAAGCCACAGAGGATTTCAGGTAGGAGGCAGATGCAGACATGAGATATGTCAGCTCCAATACAACACAAAGAAGACCAAACACAACAAACTACCAACACAAATTTGTGTCTTGTCCTCGACAACAAGAACAGAAATGGAGGGCTGATTCCGCACTTGGCCGTAGGAAGGAGGGGTGAGCGAAACTTGAGGATGTTTACTTTACAACTTGGCGAGCACTCTGACAACATGGAACAAGCACGTGGTTTTGTTCTTTTGTTCTTGTTCTTTTGTGTTCGCACTTCACACAGCCTATGACCACAGTCTTCTCAAGCCCGCAGTCACAACTGATGTGAGCCAATCAAGACATATAATTCATTGCGCAACTACAAGAAAGCAAAAGTTCACCCCTTCGGTCTGTCATGTCTCTGACGCACACATACACACTGTATATGTATGCATGGCTTTTTGCGCAGCCCTTTGTGATTGCCACTAAGTTTCTAATTGTTCTGATCATAAAGAAATACCTTTCAAGAAGCTTCTGTTTCAGATCCAGAGCCTGATTAAAGAATGCATGATACTTCAGTGACAAGACTATATTATTAATTCATTGCAAACAGTGGAATTTGGGTGTGTTACTTTGAAAAATGTTCAAAACTGGCGGCCTGTAATAAAAGCACTGAGAGAAATTCCAACTCATTAAAGTTTAATCACAAAATTCTCTTTCATATGAAATACCCAATATAGGCTGTCAGAATCAATCAGGTGTCCAGAAAAAGGGAGCTAACATGCCAAAAGGATGGGGAATATGTCAGTTGTGGCACTCACAGTTTCTTCTGGCTGTCATATTGCCAGTGCTGCCTTCCAGCCAATACTGCTGAAAATGTGGCTCCTGAGTGCAGCTTTAAAACACTCGGGGAGATGTGGAAGTAGAGGGGGGGGGGAAAACACAGCTTCTGCTGTGAAACCTTCGCCTGACAGGAGCCAGCACTACAGGTTGTGTCAGCTTTTGGTGTGGAAGAGGTGTTCAAAGCAAAGGCTTCTGGGTAATGATGTTCTTTGGGGCAACAGGGGACCTAATGGAACTCTTCACTCATGATTTTATAATCAGCCTACTGTCCAGGGGATCCGCGCCAGCACTCTTGTCTACACCTTCAGCTAAACTCTTTGAAAGCCTGAGGTCAGCCATCATGTAAAGACTGGTTGTAGAAGTGCAGAACAAGGAAGAGTGATGAAGATGGTCCAGGCTTCCCATGCTTTGGGACTAGAGAAGAGGCAGTGCTACCAAGTAGGAAAAAGGCAGCAGCGGCAAAGCTTTCATACATTGGGTTCAACAGTCTTCACAACAAAAGAGCAACAAAGACCGAATGGCTGCTGGCTTGACTGGGTTTTTGAAATCGATGACTCACTTGACTACCATTAACCTTAAAACGTCCCATTTCTTCATGTCTTTGACAACGAGGATTCACCATCTTACTTTTTTAATTAAAGTTTAAATATGGTCCTCTATTTAGCAAATAATAATTTGTATTAAACTCACACCAGTGTGTGCTTTGTCTGTTCTGGGTTCAACATGGCAGCCTCCATGAAAGGGGACCCACTCCTATGCAGATATAAAAGGTTCATTCTAAGCTAAAGAAAATGCAACAATTCTTATATTCTGATGATTGCACATTAATTAAAACATAATTATGCATACTACAGCCCCTTTCTACTAATAAATCCTTCTAGAGCTAACAAATGGCACCTTTCAGGTAACAGATACTTATGCACAAGATTTACTGTATTATAAATTATTTACTTACTGTATATTGCAGAAGAAAAAAACACATTTGCAACATTCCTAATGGTTTTCATTATAAAAATACTCTGCTCTACTTTGAAATATACAGCATGGCCAAGTTTGCAATAATATATGGGCTCATCATATATTTGTGATGTTTTATTTATTGTTTGTTTGTTTTTAATTAGAACCTGAGTTAGTCCAGTGAGAGTCTGGATGTGGCCAGTTTCATGCTGTGCTCTCTTTGACTTGGAGGACTTGAAAAAAACACCGCAATTCTCAATTCACAGCAACATCTGGGACCCTGTGGCATCTGTCTGGCTTCTGTCAGAATTATAATATAAAAATATCCTTCATTATTTACTGTAAATGCTTCTGATTTTGAAGAAAACAGTCATGTGTTTGTGCTATTACACTACTGAAAAGTTGAAACACTACTGCTAAATATCACAGGAGCTTTAAAAGACCAGAAATAGGTTGAAATCCAAAAATGATTAGATAGGGGGTCAGAAATGCTCATATTCTGTTTGTAGTCTTTTATCATTAACATTTTAGGACTAAATAGCAAAGCAACACATTAGGACATCACGTATAATTGACAAATTTTATCTAGAATCACAATGTCTCCTCAGAAAAAGCAGGATGACTATTAACACGTGGTAACTGGACCATTAAGGGACAAACTGTACAATGACTTGATATGCTGAAATATGTCTTTGTTTAGCAAGAAACACACTATAATACATTCACTCACTCGCTTAGTGTTTATAGGCTTAAGTTGTCCTCACTTGTCAAATCTAGTTCTTTCTTCTACAGAGGTAGAGCTGCTTTAGGATCTTTCTTCTCAGCCAGAAACCTGGAATACATGTTAATTAAACCAGGGCCGACATTAGAAGTACAGTGTGTAGGCTCAGCAGCATTTGTGCTTGTGTCATTACTTTTTTTTTACCTTTCCAATGCATCTTGAATATGCTGTGGCATGTTGGCCCAGATAATATTCAGAGAGACGATATAACACATAGTTTTATAAGAAGAGAAGCGACAAACAAATTTGGCTGTAGGTTGCGTTTATGTGCACTGGAAACTAAGGTAGCAATAGAATAAATCAGTTTCTTGTTGAGCAACTGGACAAAATTAACACTGAGTTGTAAGAAATAATTTAATTTTGACATTTGATTCAAATTGATTGATTTGATTCAAGTAAATATAATGATAGTAAATTATATGCTGCCTTCTCAGTCTGAGTTATCAGTTTTGAATTCATTGTGTTTGTGTCACAAACTCTGACTCTGACATTCGACACAGTAAGAACCGTGTCTGTAACACTATCAAAATGGAACGTCACAGGGATGGCTAATCTAAAGGGACACGAGAGCGTGATTTTCCTTGTCTGATACCGATTTATGTCCTGTCCAATTGCCGAGCTGTTTTAGTTGACGCTCTCATCATTTCTCAATTTGATAAATGAATTTAAAAAATTCAAAAAAATGATTTTTGATACTTTCAAAGACCTTTTCTAGGGAACCCCTGTCACTTTTCAGCCTTAGTATTTCCATCCTGTACCAACAACACATTCTAATCAAGAAATTAAAAAGAAAAGAGAATATCTGAGTTTTCTGATGAAGACAGGTGTTTCTTCTACTTACTGAACTTAGCACTTAGCGAAAAGGATGAAGTAAAACACATGGGATGAAGTATCCACCCTTCTGAAGTGCCCCAACGCAAGCCTGAAATAATAATAGCGGCACCGGGTGCAATGCTGTGTAGCTGACTGTGCGCTTTGAACTCCCTTTGGAAGAACTAATGATTTCCCCATGGGGAACAATAAAGCAGTCAATAATACACAATTAAATGTGCCAAAGAATGGGAGAGCATTCACATGGAAGCTCAGTAGATGAGTTAAATGATGTTTACCCATTATTTTGCCCGAAAGAGGGGGGTGTCAGGCCATGCCATCATAAATCATCAGAGCCCCACAAAAAGCAACACCATTTTCGAGACCTCACCTACCCTTAACGCAAAGCATCCTTGAACCCTATCTTCAACCAAGAAAAAAGCAGATATGTGGTTTGACACACAACATCTGCATTGTATTTTCTCAGGTTAAGCAGTGGCTGGCCCAACTGGCTTTTAATGGCAGTCCACCCAGTTGTCCAACCACTGACACTGCTCTACTGAGATTGTCTAACAAAAGAAGACTTTTAACAATTCCACTGAATCTGTAAATATATTATCACGACACAGAGAAGGCTCAATGGTGTGTTCTAGACCTCTGGTCTGAAGTTAGTGCTGACTATCTCCTCTATGAGCTGATTCCCTAAAACCACTTTCATTTACCAACCTCTCCCTGCCTTTAGCTGGACTGCACCCTGCCTGTTCAGAATGACTTGCTTCCTGCCTTTTTCACCCTCACAAATAAACAAAATCCCCTCTTGTTTCTTCTTCTCCTCCATTGGGTTTACCTAGGTGTCTACTTTCAATTGCTGCTGCTAAACATTTCAACACTCGATTATGTCTCCACGTGTATTGTCCTTGAGCCAGGCTTGTTTTACACCCTGAGAGGACATGCCAAAGTGATGCCACACCTGAACACACGTGACATACTGTATCAGGTCCCCATCTATCCATCTATTCAGATTTTGGGGAGAGGGAAGCACATTATAAGTTACACCTAGAACAAATCTAATCCTTTCTGCCTCCATGTCCCACATTTCCCTTTCTTTCGACATCTTCCCATCTCATCCACTGCCCCTGCCGAACCACCTGCCTCTTCCTTATTCCTAATCTCCTCAGTAGCCACCTTCCTTCTGTCAAGCTGCTGCTGCTTTGCTCCAGGAAGGTTGTGATGTGCTTAATCCAAAACCACCACATCCATGCTGTACCTGCCCTACAATATCCCTATGTTTAAGAGCTGCCAGAGCCTGCAACACTGCCTCCTTTGGGTTCCACTTCCTCCCTGCTGAGATTGTTGGTGCTGCACTCTGCACTGCTGAATCCCTGGATTCTGACAGTGTTATCTCCAGTCTAGCCTTAGTGCATTTTATCTCTCCTCTGTTAAACTAGTTATAGAGAGCTCCAAAATTCCTTTCCCATACAGGGCCACACTGCTGAGGCAGCACAGAGCTCCCACCCACTTCCTAATGTACGTGCTAAACAATCTCTTTAGATTCTCTACCTTAGAAATTGGTACATCATACACTGTCAGTAGCCGAAGCAGTCATTGCAAAAGACCAAACTGCAGGCAGCATGGTTTATTATTTAACTAGAGCCCTGACAGATTGTGAACATGGATGTAACACAGACTTTACTCCTCTAGCCCAACCTCAGTACTAACCTACTTGACCTTAGTGAGAACTTCAGCAGCAGGATCATTCAGCACATAAAGAGGCTATAGGTTAGTAGACCCTAGAGCTATGTGAGGGTGCTATTACAATGGTATGAGCTGTTGATCTGTAATGGTCGTGTGCTGAGCTCTAATGGCGCTCGGAGAGAGTGGAAAAGAGAAAATAAGAAGAAGTAATCTCAGAAAATGCTGACCTCTGAGCCACAAGAAGCAGGTGAGAAGTGTTAACGGTTGCTTGGCACTACTCCAATATTTTCTTTACAACCTTTGGCTTTTTCTCTCTGTATACTATAGAGAACAGACCTCTTATAAAGCTCCTGTAGTTACTATGGACATTTTAACTGCCCTTATTTCAGGGTCAAATGAAACCAGAAATAAATCTTTTTTTGACATGCCCTCCTGACTACAGGTGTTAATTTTTGGTACAGTGATTTTTTGCATGTGTAGGTGTCTCTCTGTAGGTGTCCCAACCAAACCAAAGTTCTTAAAGTCTTAATTTGTCAGTGGCATTAGTTGTTTGGACAATGAGAGGACAGTCACACAGGAGCACTAACCCT